CTGGGCACAACAACATGACGTGACGGATCTCCTTTAAGAAATGGGCGTGGAAATCTAGATATCATTCTTATTGTAAAAGTGGGGTGTGGCTAATATTTTTCAGAGGAATCCAATCGTTTAAGTCTTGTCATCAAATTGTATTGGGGTGTGGCTAATATTTTTCAGAGGAATCCAATCGTTTAAGTCTTGTCATCAAATTGTATTGGGGTGTGGCTAATATTTTTCAGAGGAATCCAATCGTTTAAGTCTTGTCATCAAATTGTATTGGGGTGTGGCTAACATTTTTCAGAGGAATCCAATCGTTTAAGTCTTGTCATCAAATTGTATTGGGTGGTAGAAACAATAAGTGGTCATATGAAACATCGGAAGTTTCTGGACAGGGTATTTATTAACCTGCAGGATCCCTTTTATAGGGATTATGTGATAATTGTCTTGTACTCTTTACAGTTGCTATCATCCTGCTTTCATACACAAAATTAACTGACTCTACGTTGAACAATACATTCTCAAACTGACGAAATGGCCCAACATACTTCAACATATTATAGAATATGAATGTTTAGCATGAAAGAAATCGATGTAGGAAAGGATGGAAATAGATAATGCAACTTTGGACTTTCCACACTTGTCTGAAGAGTGTATACACTTACTGACTCTGTATGTACACCAGCTGAAGAAGGTGGTATAATACACACAATAACATCAAATTGAGTATTAATAGTATGACGTGTGGGCAAGTAGTGAAATTCACGATATTCTCCGTGGAAAAACTTAGTCTCACTATGTTTCAAATAAGATGCACTCTCTTAGGTTTTATCATGACGTTTAGAGTGACCAACTTATATAATTCTGATAATACCTGTGTCACTTACGTGCACATGTAGAGTCAGTAATGAGGTTTCTGGAACTCAAAAGTAATCGTGGCATGGCCAGGTGGTTAGAGCGCTCGACTCACAATCTGAGGGTCGAGGGTTCGAATTCTCGTCCTATTCAACACGCTCGCCCTTTCGGCCGTCGGGACGTTATAATGTGACGGTCAATCCCACTAATCGTTGGTAAACGAGTGGCCCAAAAGTTGGTGGTGGGTGGTGATGACTAGCTGCCTTCTCTCTAGTCTTTCACTGCTAAATTTAAGACAACTAAAGTAGATAGTCCTCATGTAGCTTTGCGCGAAATTCAAAACACCCCAAACCAAAACTAAAAATAAAAGTTCCATGGCTGAAAGTGTTCATGATGTTTCCACAATCATTGACGATATATATGTTAGCTAAAGACCGAATGTAAACACTAACTGTACATGGAATGTAACATTTTTATAAGTGGTTCATAGACAATATTAAAAGTGATTTATTGGTCATTTTAATGGTTTTGTGTGTTTAACAGTCTTTAGCTATGAGTAGACTTTGATTAATGTAGAGATCAAGGTCTGATAATCCTGTGTGATGATAGAGAAATCGTTAAATGAAATATTATAGAGATATTGGCATAATTTAGTTTCACTTCCATCCATAAATACATCACGAAAGCTAAAAAGCTACATACTTATAAAGAAAGAATCAGTATACGTTTTTTAGTGTTCTGCTGAACGTTCCAAACTAAAACTTCCTTCATTTAAAGAATTTTAAACGTTGTATACGTTTAATCTGTATACCAAGGGTCTATAGTACGACAAGTTTTCTTTACTGAGATATGTTCTGTTCACATTGTCACACAAAACCACCCGACCCTTAACGACTCACAAAGCTCTTTAGATCTAAAATTGTTCTAAATTTTCACACTTAACTCAACTGTTGTGTAATAAGTATATAAACATTGTTTCATTCGTCTATTTATCGCTTTTCTTAATAACTAACTAAACTAATGATTATGTTATTATATTATAATTTTAGTAATAACAATATTTGTAGCACAATTTTCAGATTTCGCTGAAGATGGAATAAGTTATTCCGAAACGTTCGAACCTTGTAAATATTTTCGTCATTAGGTTTTCAAAATAATCTACAGTTAATGGTATAACATGAAAGCAGTAACCAAATCACTTTAATAAAGGAACCAAAATATAATATATATACGTATGTAACGAGTAAGATCCAGGATTGTCCTCATTCACGTGATAAGATCTTATACGGTTTATTCTGCTGTCTTATCAGCTTGTTGATTGTGCGTTGCACAACCAAGGTGTTGGACTTTGTACATAGCTCTATAAATGTTAAGCAAATCAGACGATTTTAAAACCTTTATACAGCACGAGTTTTAATGGAATCTTGGTGTGTACTACTTATGTATTGATATTTTCAGATATTATTTTTAACGATTCCTCTTTCATTATCCATGATTTAATTCATACCCAAGTTGCTTTATAGTTGCCTGGTATAACCGTATTTACCACAAGAAAAATTCATACCTTCTGCCTCATTACCAGTATAATGTTTTGACTTTTTTTTCCAAAAATAAAGAATAGGTGGCGCATGAAACTCGATGTTTAACAAAATAATTCGTATTACAACTAATAATAGCAATTTTGGTCCTGTTATATCAGTACTTAGGTACCATCAGTTAGTAAAACAAGTTTTTTCATGAAGCTAATTAAGTTCAATGAAACTAACTTACTTCAGTACTCTTGTCTCGCTTTATTTGTTAGTCTGTTTGCTATTGGTTAGAACATTCAAGTTCAATGAAACTAAATTAAAGTTCTTGTCTCGCTTTATTTGTTAGTCTGTTTGCTATTGGTTAGATCGTTCAAATTCAATGAAATTAAATTACTCCAAAGATCTTGTCTCGCTTTATTTATTAGTCTGTTTGCTATTTATGGACTATAAATGGACTATCTGTGCTCTGCCCACCACGGGTATCGAAACCCGGTTTCTAGCGTTGTAAGTCCGCAGACATACCGCTGTGCCACTGGGGGGCTTGGCTTTGCTACAAAAAAAAAACACACATTTTTATTTATTTCCACTGATGATATTTTGCCGTTTAACTCAAATCTACACAATGAGCTATCTGAACTGTTCCCACCATGGGTATTGAACAGTGATGTTTAGTATTATAAGACTTCAGACTTACCCATGAGCCACTAGGGGACCACTGATGAACTATAAAAAAAGCTGAACATTATGAATACATCTAAAACGGTTACTTTAATAGTATTCTAATTGGATTTGGCTATTCACAGATATAGTAACTAAGAAATAAAATCTATATAAATATAATAGTACTATCTGTTGTATGTCCATGTAACTACTTCGCAGGGTATAAATGGATCTTCACCAAAATTGGTATGGAGGGTCAATAGGTCCATCCGGGGGTTACATACAAATTTTCAGTCTTTCATATTGCGTTTTTCGATTTTTATGGGCGTTTTTACGTTTTCGCCCTTTTTTTTACCACTACTTCGCCTTCTGTTGATGGATCTTCACCAGATTTGTCATAAAGGTTTGTTGGGTCCATGCGGAGATACATGCAAACTTCTGGATTCACATTTTGTGTTTCGCAGTTTTTATGGGCGTTTTTTACAATTACATATAAGGGAAGCAGCTTTTCGTGTCCTAAGATAACCTTTCATTAATTTACATAACTTACGTTCAGGGGACGGGTACTCCAACTAATAGTAAATATGAAATAACGTTATGCAAGTAGTGGAGATGCAATCGTTATTAAATCTTTTTATTTGTTAGCGTTGTGTAATTGGACAGCAAACATCATAATGAAGTCAACAATTTCAATCATGTAATACGGTGTAAAATATTACCTATGTCTAATAAAGTTTATAAACAAGGATGAAAGCAAAGTTTCAAGTCTTTTCTCAACATTGAATATAAATGTGAAACATTTCGTACTTTAAATACTGAAATACAAAAAAAAAAGTCAGTACATATGAATATATTCTTCTCTTAGCCCTCACTTGACAAACTGTTATATTTACTTCAACATCGTTTGAGTATTGCTTTCGATCTGGTCATAAGTTCAAGCTTATTGGTTACGTATTTTCATGTGCTGTTCAAAACAACTTTTTTTTTTACTTTCACATTTCCTGAGTTTGCAGATTACCAATCTCGGAAACAAAAAAACGTAACATTAGCTTAGATCCTGGTTATGTATCATATTAATAAGATACTTGTAATAAACTATTATCAAATTATTAAATTATTTCCAGATTGACTGAATATAATATGGTTTGGTATACGGAATAAATGGAACTTTATAGAACAATGTGGAATGTTTCATCTTCGACAAAGTGAAGCATTTTGTGCATGTACGTGAATACCATCACATTAGTACTTTAAACAAACGAAAAAAAAAGATATTGAAACAAATAATTTTTATGGCTATTGGAAATATTACCAGCTGTTTCAGTCTATCTGTAAGATGCAGAAAAGTATTACCATGATCCAACTATATTTTATGGAATATTTAGGGATATTTTAAAGAATCTAATTTTTGTCTTTACTGATGCGTAACGTTGGTTTGTTTTGTTACGAATTTCGCGCAAAGCTACACGAGGGCTATCTGCGCTAGCCGTACCTAATTTAGTAGTGTAAGACTAGAGGGAAGGCAGCTAGTCATCACCACCCACCGTCAACTCTTAGGCTACTCTTTTACCAACAAATAGTGGGATTGACCGTAACATTATAAGGCCCCCATGGCTGAAAGGGTGAGCATGTTTAGTGTGACGTGGATTCGAACCCGCGACCCGCAGATTACGAGTCGAGCGCCCTAAGTACCTGGCCATGCCGGGCCTAATGCGTAAGAACCTGTAGAATATACCATTCTCGTTTATTTCAGAAATATCACTTATTTCAAGAAACAATAGATGACCGACTAGTTTGAATTGATGTTACGCTGATGGAGTAAATAATCTCTGCTACTATTATTTGGATTCCATATGTTGTTTAGAAAGAACTTTCGTTAGTTTGAAACACATGCGTTTATAAGATCTATTAGGCAGAACGCAGAACGCTTTCATTACGTTAGGAAGCAGTTTTATTATACTTAACACCTCTAAGTACATGATACAGGCATAATAATATACAAACATTTTAGTGTCACCCTCAAAAAACAAGGAAAACACGCATAGAAACAGGGTTATTAACACAAACTTTGTTCAACTCGTAAAATTGCACGTATTGGTAGACAAGTATACTAATTTTGGTGTGCCTAAAACACTTTCTAAGTCACACTCTACAAGTGTTATATATTTAATGAATGTGTGTAGGAATAATTTTTGAATGTAAACAGCTGCGTTTCATCTATTCAACTAAAAAATGGTAAACCCAGAGCAGATAATGTCAGTTATCTATAGCGTATATTAGATGAAAGCTACTAATTATTAGTATTTCAGTGTATTAAAATATTGTTGATTGGATAACGATCTTGTCTGACTGATTATAGGATACGTACTGGACGTATGTTTAAATATATAATTAAAACCACTGGCATTGGTAGAACATTCCGGCAACTCAGTCCGCAACACTGGTGCGTTCTAATTATGAATTGGAATACACATGTCCAGTATTCTCGCAGTGCTACTGGAATAAAATCAGTGGCACTGGCATAACACCATTTTCGGGTTCTTCTTAGTGTACACATTAATAACGAAAAAGGAATTAATGATAAATTGATCAAATAATATAAAATAACAAGGGAAAATAAGTGCCATTTTATTAACAGTGTTTAAAAAAGGGTCTAAATATAAAAAAGCATTACTGCTAAGAATACTGATGTAATAATTTTAATACTTTATCTTAGAGGCTCATTATTAATGCATTTTAATAATTATTATAGATATTTTTAGAAATTACGGCTGAAACCTCAATGCTCATTTGTTCACGGAAATTATAATCGTAATTAATACTTTTTAATTGAGGTATAAGCAGGTGACTTTTGATTAATGATTCCTTATTTTAATGAGTATGTTATAACAAGATACGACATGAATTACAATTAATATGTTATATACATTGTATTTGTTTTCATTTAATTCACTACTTTGTTCAAACTCTAAAGAAATAAATTTATCTTAGAAAAATAGTCCATAACACAGTGAAAAAATTTTAACTTAACTTTTTTGAGTATTTTAGTACTGAACAAACATTACATTTATTAGTTGTAAAATAATAAATATCTTAAAGCCATGTTTACAGACCAAGTTCTAATATCTTATAGTAAATTACAGGGATTTTTTTAGCTTAGTTTCAATTTAGCTTTTTTTAGTTAAACAAAAAACACCAGTTGTATCTTTAGGCTTTGCTTACGGTTTTCTCTTTTGTTAATTATTTTGCTTCATTTTTTATTTTATTTTTGTAATTAGAGATAATAAATTCAATAACAAAATTAATTACGTTAATTAGTGAAGTTGGGTGTGAAAAAATACAATAAAAGTTGAACATTCTACGCAAAATGGATAAACAAATAACAATACTACCCAGTTTATGAAATCATTGTTCTCCATATTTAAAACTAAGAGAGTTTCGTTCGCACATAAACGAATAATTAGTGAAGTTGGGTGTGAAAAAAGGCAATAGAAGTTGAACATTCTACTCAAAGTGGACAAACAAACAACAATACTACCCAGTTTATGAAATCATTGTACTCCATATTTAAAACTAAGAGAGTTTCGTTCGCCCATAAACCAACAAAACTATTTAATTTAAATAGTTGGGAAAATGTGAGCTAGTTCAAACAGTGAGTATTTTAATTTACACTCATTACTGAACAGGTTTTTTGACATTTTTACCTATTCCTAAATAGGTCTTTCAAATTCACCTTATTCTTAAACAGTGACATTCGCTTTGCTCTTAACGAGGCCCGTGAAATTCAAATCATTATTAAGTAAGCCTTTTCAGTTAATTTCACTCGTATTCTTGCCTTTAGGATTCATTTCACTCTAAAGCTTTAAAATTCACTCTTAAGGGAGCTTTTTAAGTTTACCATAAGTCCAAGTATTCGTAAGTATGATAATAATGCTAGTAACGCCATTACTACAGAAGTGGTCCTCGTATACAAGTTTCCTAATTGTAGAGTTTACAGAGTAAAACACTGCAATCGCGTTTTCCAGAGTGGAAGTTAGCTTAGTTCAGTATAAATCAGTATCAATATTTTATCACACAATGATGATAGAAAATAATGAGCTTACAACCGATAAATGAGAAGTCTTTACACTAAAAGAAATTCTGCTTTAATAATTCTAGTTTGGAGGAAATAAAGGTTTTTTTAAGCCACAAAATTTAATGAAATGTTAGAAGATGAGGTACAAAGGATGTAACTTTTCGCTTACCTTGTACATAATAAGGTGTAAGAACACCAGTTCAACTGTCCTTTTGTTGTTTTTTTTCTACCATTTTCTTCCAATATCAAGATTACTTATCTATAATAGCATTTAAACTTATCTTAGAACTGTAGTGGTCCAGGCGGCCTCGTAGTTTTGGTGGTATGAGAACATGCCTTGTTTCCAGCGTCTCACGAACAACAACAATAAACAAATAAACTCACTATTTATACATATTTCTGACAGCAACATTAACAAGACTCAGCCAAGAGTCACAAGAGTCACCACTTTTCTTAGTAAACCAAAGTTACACACCTTAAAGTATTTGTTTTCCAGCAACAACAATATTGAAAATATCCAATCAGAAACGATACGTTTACGTGAGCACGAGAGTTAACTTTATGTTGTAATAACTTCAATCTAAAAACTCAAAATAGCAAACGATGTCTATTTTAAAGTTTTTAAATGTTGAAGGAATTATTCAATTTTTATTTAGGTTTTACTGCTTAACGACTTAAAGGAAGAAGAACAGCGAAAAATAATCAGTTATGTTCTGATTTGAGTTGTTGTTTGCTTTCAAAAATGTCACTATTTGAGAAAATATTCTAGATATAAGCTTTAAGCCAAATGCCTTCTGTGTTCCACCTTCAACGTGTTCTTCATGATGTCGACGATGAACCAAACACTCGCAGTTGCCAACTTGGCTGGCGTGGTGGAACCTGTAAATGAAAATATCTCAGACAATGAGAGTTTATGGAGAATCCAATCTTTGTCATGTTTAGTAGCTTAGATGACCAACTAAGTCGAATTACTAATAGTACTCGGCTTCAGGAGAGCCTGGAGAAGAACAAACATGGTGATAGGATCAGAGAATCTATCCTGGGCCTTCCCATTAGAAAGGTATTTTGCGCTATCAATCACCCGCCACTCGCATCCTTTGAAAGGCTTCAGTGGAAGAACCCAGGTTTTTACTTATTCCTATGTTAGGTTGATGAGTGTGTTCATATTTTTTTCGTTCTAGTGTGCATAGTTTATACCCAATTATTTTAGTATTATTCAATTTTACTGTATGATTCAAATAACTATTTGTTTTAATTCCCAACAGGGTGAGAACCTGGATGAGTGGATATCATATCTGCCTTTCCAGCAAGACGACCCAGGATCGAATTCTGCTAAGGAGTTAGCTGAACAATACGTGGGTTAGCAGCAAAAGCATGGGGCGCAACCTAATTAGTATCTAATAAGAAATAGTAAATTAGTAATTAGACTTAGTAATTAATGTCTGGTTGTCACAATCTTTCGTACGTTTATAGAAATAAACGTGTAACGAATGAATTGACAAACACTAAACTTTCCTCTTAAGGACTGTCGAAACAAACTTTTAATAACTTTCCAAATACTGTAGAACTTCATCTTCACGAGTACCCAAAACGTTAAATTGTACCATTTCAAATACACTCTGGGAACAGAGTTTCACAAAATTGCCTTATATTGTTATTTAGTAACCAACAGATATATCTTTACCTAAAAAAAAATTGGCAAAAGTTTCGGGGCTGTAAACTTTTCTATTTACTGAAGTACAATGATACACGAGAAACAAATAGCGAAACGTTCATGTTATGTCAGTTAGTTACATTTTTTGATTTACCAGACAAAAAAGTGACATGTTATGGTTACTATGTAAAGGATTTACTTTTACTTTTTCAAAGGCATATAAATTAAAAAATAAAATAAAATAATACGATTCGATCACTTCAAAGTTTTTAATATAATATAGAATAAAATCAGTTAAAGAATCTTAAGCATAATGCTGTACTACATTCATTTCAATGTTTATAGTACATTGAAATATTACACTATATATTTGCAAAAGGAAATAAATTAAGAAAACATACCTTTTTTAAAGAATTTTGGCCACCAAACTTCTTAATCTCCATCATTAATTGATCGCGACTATTCACATTTGCATTCTGTAATTTTTTACTTCCAGAAGGTTCTTTGTCAAAGTTCCGAGAAGGAAAACTGTTAACTTGAGTGTTGCTTGTAGAAGAAACTTCATTAGTTTCAGAGGGAAGTGTCCGTGGAAGAAATGGAGCTCCTACATTTCCCTCAGCAGCAACGCTTTTAGAGAATTTGTTTCCTACTCCTGTTTTGTGCAGCTGAAAAGCATGCTTTTGTTGTAGAGGTGAAACAGCAATCTCTTCATGCATTGGAATATCTTCTTTACTATTACTTGCAACAGTGTCTTTTACACTAGAAAACTTCACACTTTCTAGAATCTTAGATTTTACCTCTTCTGAGAATCCTCTAACAATTGGAGCTCCCAGAATTTTAGTTGGTGGAAGCCTAAAGGTATGGGAAATGGGCTTACTCTTGTATGGTTGTGGTGCAAAGATATTCTTGAAAGATTGAGTAGCATTCAGTTCTTCTGTATCTGGAGTTTTTGGCTGTTTTAAGAGCCATTCATCTTGCTTAAAATAATTAGAATTTTTCTCTAGGTTTAAAGAATTCGTTCGATAGGCTACATTTTTAGTTACTGTTGTTTGTTGATTAGCTCTATTTGAAGGTTTATAAGAATTATCCTTTAGCTGCTTATAAATCTGTTTGAATGAAATGTCTTCATTTTCTAATTGATTTTCAAGGCTTAACCAAGGAAATTTATTCGATATCAGTTCTTTGGATTGCTTTCTATTTTGAATCGTTTCTTGTTCATTTTCGTGACTAACGACTTTTTTACCTGGATCAGTAGTTGGTTGAAACTCATCAAGCAAATGCGAATGAATTAGATTTTTCTTTGTGGGTTTGTTGAATGAGTCGGAATGTTTTGTTTTAGCTGAAGTTAAAGTTTCAGAATGAATACGTGACTGAAGATCGACGGTTGAACTATGATCTTTTTTAGCAGCCCTAACACTGGAAGGTTTTAGTTTGGGCAGTATTTCAGATTTTAGCTCTTCTGTGTCAGATGAAAGAAGCTGCTGCTCTTCGAAGAACACTTTGGTTCTAGTTAGTGGTGAAAGAGAGAATTTTGACATTATATTTTCTTTTTCCAGAAGTTCTTGATTATCTAACAGCTTTTTTTGATATAATAGTAACTGATTTTGAAGTTTCTGATATTCATCTTGTAATTCGTTTTGCTGATCAGATGAAACTTTGACAATGCTCCCTTCTGATCTTGCAACATTGGAATACTGAGAACCGTCTACTTCTGACTTTACACGTCCGAGTCTTTCTGAAAAGTCAGTTTGTTGGTCATCATCATGTTGCTCATCTGCTTCCATTAGTGCCTGTTGGCTAAGGTCCGTCATGGAAGTAGTATTTCCATTGAAGAGAGAGGAGATATTCTGGTCATCAATGGCTAAACAGCGTATACGCACCTTGCCTTTAATACCTCTCACTGAGCCTCCACCACTATATACAACCTTGTTGTTTTGAGGGTTCATTATAATTGGATTAGTTTCCTCTTGAGAAGATCCAGTTCTTTCACATCCCAGTAGTTTAGGTTTTGTTTCATTTTCTGAGTTGATGTCCTGGCAATGAAATGATTCTGACTTGTGGACCTTAAACTTGTTTTCTCTAGAATCGGTTCCTTGAAGATTCTCTTTATTGGGTGCTCTCAAAAATGGTTTTTCTAAGTAATTTCTAATAGGGTTGTCATTTAATTCCAAATATTTCTGTGTACTTTTGAAGTCTTGTGCTTCAGAAGAAAACGAATCTTCTTCTTCTTCTCGTGTGTAAGGCTTGATAGTAAAGTTTTTTAACCGTAAATTTCTTACTGCTGCTACGATACTCAAGTCATTTGGTTTGATTAGCTTGCCGTTTGTATTTTCTGAATTTCTTTCTGAGTGGTTTCTCATCACAGAAATGTCGTCAGATACAGCTTTTAGTGGTGGCGGGGATGAAGGAGTGGGTGGCAGAGTTGATTGCGAATTATTATCATTTGATAAAGACTTTATACTTTCCTTAAAGGAAGTGTTGTTTTCATTAACTGTGCAATGATTATTCTGTCTAGTAGCCTTCCAAGAAACTTTTTCTTTTAAAAGTGCCGGAGGCTTCATTTTCTGGTCAATTAATATTTCTCCTGGCTGTTGAATATCTGTTTTTACACGTCTCTTTACTTGAGAACAGTCTGATATATTCCTCGAGTATGGTTCTAGATGGGCACTGTCTGCTTCCTTATCTGAACCTTTAATTATACACGATCCTTTCGATCTTCCTGTAAAAATACGAGTCCATTTGATTTTATAGTGTTTAAAAACACGTAAATGATTCATGTAGGAGTTGTAAAAGTAATTTCCTTTTTAGTGGCTACCGAATAATAGCGTAAGTAAGCGTAATTATGGAGGGAAAACATAAAATAACACAACACAGGAACGAACTTGAAATAGATTATTAATATACGAGTTTTTTTGAAGATATTAAGTTGTCATCAAGAGACTAAGTCCAAGTACGTGATAAATTAATTAATAGGATTTGTTAATGTATTGTTAAGAATATTATTCCTTATATATATGATTGAAATATAATTATAAATGAGTAAAAGAACTTAAACGAAACATAATATATTTGAACAAGCTTCATTATAAATAAATAAAAATACACGTAGTATTTTTGGAAGAACATAAAAATATATCAGGGATCAAACATATCTTTAGCAGCTTTGAATTTCAGACAGAACGACACAGAAAACTTATTATTTACATTTAAGTTTCCTGTAGAGAAATAACTGTTTTTTTTAGTTCTAATTACAAGGGTGGTTAAGTGGGTTATGTATGCTTTCGTGAATAACTCCAGTTAATATTTAACAATAAAAAGTACATTTTCAGGAAGAGATCTAATTAACATTTAATAATAAAAAGTACATGTTCAGGAAGAGATCTAATTAACATTTAACAATAAAAAATACATTTTCAGGAAGAGATCTAATTAATATTTCTAGAAAACAAATATTCGAATTAACCATTCAGAAACTAACATTTAAATCTGTCACTAAGCCATAATTTTTATTAGTTAGAACTCATCTATACAAAACTAGGTAATGATACCTGTCTGGTGTTCTTTTGCCATAATTTGCTCTTCTTTGGCAGTCGTCTGTTGGAAAGTTTGGTCGAGGTCGCTGATTGTGTTAAGAGAAGAAAGTAGACCTACGAAGCGACTCGATTTACTTGTATCACCTGACAAAACAACAAAACCTTAGTTCCAACTACTTACGATGATGTTTGTATTAAGTAATTTATTTATTTATTTTTAATTCACAAGTTTTGGCTGAATTACCTAAGCCTTCTACAGGTGCGAGACGTTTAGTAAACAACGGGATCTAATGGAACAGGATCTAACATTGTTCCGTTAGATCCTGTCGTTTACTAAACGTCTCGCACCAGTAAAAGGCTTAGATGACTGAGCCGAAAGCTTGTGCATTAAAAAAAAAAAACTACAATAAAAACGTGGTGATAGTCCAATAAATTTATTAATACAAATATGCCTGAAAAGTTACCTACGATGATGTCATTTTATGTTACTGAAAGAACGACTGTGTATATATTTTTTTAAACCAGAAAAATGCTAAACCTTTTTATAACAAGTTTATGAGTAAACACTTTAACCATTTTCAAACTATGAAAAATTAATTTTTTTTTGAATTTCCAACGTACATAACAAGCTATAAATTGTACTAATAATGTAGTGTTATCTACTTGTCAGAATCAGATATCACACTTTACATCTTATTTTAGTTTACTTTTTAAACTTATTAGACCGAGTCACAAGCCAAATGATACGAATGTGCGTGACTGTGTGTTAACACTATTTTCATGCTCCTTGTAAAATTTTGAAAATAGCTTTAGAAATGATGTTAAATATCCTTAACTGAACTAATTTATTAACTGGGATAAAATATTTTAATAGGTTGAATAACAAAGCCTTAATAATGATATTTCTTTCTAAGGTCTGGCACGGCCTGCTGGTTAAGGCGCTTGACGAGCAATCTGAGGGTCGAGGGTTCGTATCTCCGTTACCAAATATGCTCAACCCTTTCAGTTGTGAGAGCGTTATAATGTGATAGAGAATCCCAATATTCGTTGGTAAAAGAATAGCCCAGGAGTTGCTGGTGGATGGTGTTGACAAACTGCCTAGTCTAGTCTATCACTGCTAAATTAGGGACGGCTAGCGCAGGTAGACTTTGTGTAGCTTTGAACGAAATTCAAAACAAACCAAAAATTTCTTTCTAGGCTACTACAGTGAAAGATATCTCTAATCAAAGATGATACCACTACTTGATGCTTGAAAACGTACCCTGTGAACCTTAATTAACAGTCTCTGGTTGTACTCATAAACTTCGTTGCAAGTATTGGAGAGATAGATTATTTATGAACAAATAAACTTTAACATGCGTATTTCTGGAGAAGCGTCAAAAATCCAGTGGCACAGCGGTAAGTCTACGGATTTTCAACGTTAAAAGCCAGGGTTTGATTCCTCGCGGTGGACATAGAAGATAGACTTTGCTCTAAAACACACAAGCAAACCAACAAAGCTCTTAGGGTCAGGTTCTATATTTGAAATATTTGTCACAAAACTTCCCGCCAAGTTTATATTCAAAATACGGGGCAAATAGCTTTCCTATATTTTTTTTATTAAGAAACAAGACTTTGCAGATAAACTCATAAATAACAAATCGCAGTTAAGTGTAAGTTTATATATATATTGTTATTATTTATTGCTAATAACATTTTGTCTAACGACGTATGACATTATTACGGGGCTGAGTTGCTATTTTCTATTTTTTCTCATGCTGTTTGTTTGTTTGAATTTATACACAAGGCTACACAATGGGCTATCTGTGCTCTGGCCACCACGGGTATCGAAACCCGGTTTCTAGCGTTGTAAGTCCGCAGATATACCGCTGTGCCACTAGAGGGGGGGGGGTGATACTCTGTAGATAATGTTTGTATACAACATGTACGTAAAATATTTGTACTAACCGTCCCGATTTTGAAGTGCTATATTAGAAGGAATGCAGCTAGTCAGCATCATCTTCTTGGACTATTCATTATAATAATAATTATTTCTTAAAGTCTGAGCTATATAAAGTTCCGTTATAATATGAATAATTCAGTATTCGAACCTAGAGCAAAAACAAAACAAACAAACATATTTTCAATAAAATATCGAACATTTGCTATACCAACAAGATATACATAAAATAAAATAGTGTAGACTTGGGAGTTTTATCTGATGGTGTTTTTAAATGTTTCTATGACGAATAATAGCACTGTTTTTTTGGCGCGCAAGTCTTAAGTTATGGTAATAAAGTTTGTAATACTTCAGCACAAAAATGGGGGTGCAGCAAAATGATTTTTGCCATTATAGCAGTTCGAAATGTGCACAGTTGATAGCACGATACAGTATTCTAAATGTGCACAGTTGATAGCACGATACAGTATTCTAAATGTGCACAGTTGATAGCACGATACAGTATTCTAAATGTGCACAGTTGATACCACGATACAGTATTCTAAATGTGCACAGTTGATACCACGATACAATATAACTCTTTCTGTCAGCTTGCCGCTGAGATGTTCTGTAACAATTATGGTGTTACGATTGTGATACTCTGCTTCAAATTCTCCTGGTTGTTTTGGACGTGTAATGAGTATCCAGTGGTTGACTCAAAGGAAAAGTCTAATAACGTGTTCCTCTGTGTTTGCGATTGGCCAAAGAACCAGTTTTACAAAACTTCGCCGGAAAACGACCAACACTTGTCTGTAGCAAAGGAGGTTTTTGCCCAGATTTCCTCACATTAAATTCTTGCTGCTGACTCAATCCAAGTTCCCCACAAAAAGAATAATTTATATTTGTTATTTGAAGTTTAAATACATCCCGACAAATTAGTTCAACAAAAGAAGGAAAAAAAAAAGTTAGTAAAACAAAAAGTTGACTTAGAAAATACGTATACAACTTTACTCAAAATAAGGTGTATTAGAAGTTTAGGTACTTTTTACTAAGCTCTTTTGATCATAATTTCTTTAAGGAAAGCAGCCCGAGAAACAATCAAATAGTGATGTTGAACTAATATGTCAGAATATTGTTAGTTAACTGAATGTTGATATAAAACCTTCAATAAAATTAACTTGTAACTCATAAATATTTACTCAGTTGAAACGGGTGAACATACTTGTAATTCTTAATATAGAGTAATAATTGTAAACGTAATTCTAATACGTTTCATTTAGTTAACTGAATGTTGATATAAAACCTTCAATCAAAGCAGCTTGTAACGCATAAATAGAACTCAATTGAAACGGGCGATTTGTTTTTGTTTTTCGCGCAAAGCTACACGAGGGCTATCTGCGCTAGCCGTCCCTTATTTAGCAGTGTAAGACTAGAGGGAAGGCAGCTAGTCATCACCACCCACCGCCAACTCTTGGGCTACTCTTTTACCAACGAATAGTGGGATTGACCGTCACATTATAACCGTCACAGTAAAAAGTATCTGTAAACTTCTAATACACCTTATTTTGATTAAAAAATGAATGAACAAATATATAGCACTATAGCACTATAGTAGAGAAAAATTAGTAATGATGTGGAAGTAAGAAAGTTAAAAAGTAAAGAGATGTTAGTAAAGTTTAGGCACCTGCAGTGGTAGAAAAAGAAGATGTTATCTTTCTTTTCATTTTCTGCTGATGTAATGGTGAAGGTGTATTTTTCTCCCGGCGAAGAGGTAGAGGAGAGAAATACCTCTTAGGTGCCTCAGGTTTGGAAGAGGGCAGAGGTGGAGGAGGTCTAAGATCTTCATGACGATCTTCCGCTGTGTTCATTGTATCACCATGACAGTGAGATACTTGTAAACTGTTAAACTCCTCATGATGTTCATCGACTTTTGACATCCTTTCTCCTTCTGCTTCATCCAAATCCAAGTCGTCTACCAAAGTAACCTTAATTTCGAAGTCATCTACTGATATAGGGTTGTCATTGAATTTTCGTACTGTAGTAACCTGTACATTACCTAGTGATTGTATTGTTTTATCATAATACTTGTCGTTAACTGGAGTATTAGTGTTAAAATTGTCGTTGACTGGAGTTACGGTATTAATATTGTCGTTAACTGGAGTTACGGTATTAATATTGTCGTTAACTGGAGTTATAATGTTAATATTGTTGTTAACTGGAGTTGCAGCGTTAATATTGTCGTTATCTGGAGTACCAAGTCCCTCTGCACTGTCATTTAATTTTGTAGTGTTGTGATACATGTAATGCAAGTTATGAGCTTTTAACACATTTTTGCCAGTTTTCTTCCTACTCGTCAATTTTGGTTTCATAGTGTCCAAGGTAGTGTCAGCTATATCTCTAACCTCTGATAACGAAGCAGAAAGACTCGAATTTTGAGTAGGATATAAATGGCGGAGAAGACCTACACTGGACCTTACAGCTTCTAAAGGTTCTGAGAAAAGGAACGTAGACAAGTTAGAATCCAATTCAATGGACTCGGTGACAAGCAGAAAATACGTTAGGTTCAAGCAATTCATATATGGAGAGTTAATCGCTCTTCATATGAACGACTTTCCAGATTTCGTGTCTTTGGAAATATTTCCTCCGCAATTTGCAACAATTTTCTGCAAATAACAGCAAACAGCCTTGCATAGTGACAAATTTGCCACAGATCTTGCATTAAAACCACATTCAGCGAAACAAAATTAACAAAAGTCCATGGGCGTTGTAGCCAGGTGATTTTTTTATAAGTATGTCGGAGAAGACGATAGCGTGAATATCGGTGTCGTTCCCCTTCATTGTTGGTGTGGGATTAGATGTATGACTTGCAGACCTATCCTGATGTAATAATATATTCTTGGCGCTCGGTTCATATAGTACAGAATTTGATCTCGCACAATAGATATTAATACGTTCTCTTTTAGCCTTACTGTGCACTATCTAAAGTCTGAAGTTCTTTTTTATAAGAATCCCCTTCAACGACCATGCTCGTCCATTTAGCCGTGGGGGCGTTATAATGTAGCGGTCAGTTCCACTATTTGTTGGTAAAAGAGTACCCTTAGGGTTGGCGGTGGGTGGTATTGACTAGCCACCATCCCTCTAGTCTAACACTGCTAAATTAGGGATGGCTAACGCAGATAGCCCTCATGTAGCTTGGCACGAAATTCAAAACAAACCAAACCCTTTATAAGAGAAAACACACACACACACAGCAAACGCGAAGCCTAAATTTCTTTACGTTTCTTGTCACAGTCGTTCAGATGTTTCCGGGATGTGTCAACTTATGCTCTTGTGTTTCATTCTTTTTCTAAAGACAAGATTTTTGTAAATAATCTTTTGGACAGCTTATTAGCATATGCTCAAGATGAGGTTCACTGTAGGATCAGCCTAAGAACTTAGTCCTACATTTACAGTAGAGGAACGTTGTTAAGGTGTTTTCACATTTTCACATGGAGGGGTGCTTTTCCCTTGCCAATACTTATTCGCTATGTTTTAGATAATCGTCCTTTAAACTAGTGTGCCTTGTGATGTTTCTGTACGAACACCTTTCCTTGCATGTGCAAATTGTTCTTATAAAGAGTGACTAACCCTCCATAGATTAGATTAATAATTAAATTCTGATTGAATTTTTATTAAATATTTCACATACCCTCTTCCATTTACCAATTGTTGTAATAAAAGTCTTAAACTATAGGGTAAAGATTAGAATTAATTTTACTGAGTCATTGTTGAATACGGGGTATCATCAATATAATAGTTTTCGGTTACATATTATTAAGATGATAAATACTAGTGTATTGTTGTTGATTTAAAATGCATTACGCTTGTTAGGCTCAATAGATTTTTTTTCCTTTTAGTCAAAAACGTATACAATAATATTTGATTTTTCTCGGCACCATTAGTCATTTCTCCGAGGCCCAAAATCAGAGATAATCATTGCTATACGATAAAAGTATTAAAGAATCATGAAAGCTATATGAAAAACGGCTTTGTTTATTTGATAAAATGTTATCACACTTCTCTGATCGGCTTGTATTAATTATTGTAAAGGATCAGTAACCTAATGATATTTATCAGCCATAAAATTCCACATAATGTTATAGTGCTCCACTTAATATATCAATGACAGGAGTAAATAAATTCATCTCACGCACTTTTCTAATTTACTTATTTAGGACCTTTAGATTTCTAAGTCAGACATTTTGTAGCGAAATGGTAAATTGGTAAGAACCTGATAAAACTTACCTATGAATCAGAAGTTTCAAAAGACGTGTCATTATTATTGTACACTTGGATATCTCTGTTGTTCCGAAGAACTTCAATCAAATAAATCTAACTGTTTACTTATTTTTAATCCATATTAAAAATTATATAATAATTTTCTTCGGAAAACAATGTATGAAAAATCATTTGATCTTTCTGGAAGTATAATATAATAAATTAGGTACTCTAGATGTCGTGGTACAACAATGGAATGTATATAATTGGGTTTCTGGTATAGACACTTCAAACAAGGTATAATCTATAATATTTTCCATCAGTATATCTTTGTAATATTTATTATAACCGTTTACTGAGAACATCTTTAACTAACTCACCTTCATAAATGTTTGACACGGAATGCGAGTTAAAATCTCCACGAGTCATTTCATCTTCATCAATATCTGACACTGAATGCGCGTCAAAATCTCCACGAGTCACTTTATCTTCATCAATATCTGACACGGAATTCAGGTCAGACTCTTCACGAATAAATTCCCCTTTTTCAGTATCTGATACGGAGCAGCACGAGTCAAGATCCCTACGAGTCAGTTCACTGTTGTGATAATCTAACAACGTGTGAGAATGATCAAGGTCAGAAGATTTTATATTGCTATGATGGAGTGTTATATTACTCGTGAAAGAACGAATCTCGTCTGCATTTCTATTGAAAAAGGAAGTATTAACTATACAATACTTGTCGTTGTCTTGAGAATCAATAGGAATAGCCACTGTATTTTTCAGATTGGTTTCATGCTTGTCGGACGATTCTTTATTTTCAGAAAGCATGCAGTTTTCAGGATGGGTGAACTCTAATTGATCAGAAGAGTCAGACGTTAAAGTGGAGAGAGGTTGGGAAATGTTAAGATTTCTAACATATCCATTTGCTTTAGTACATGACGATTGAACGGGGGGAGGAGGGGCCTTCCTTTTCTTTCCAACTGAAAGTGAAGGAGAAATGGGCTTTGATAATGAAGACCTTTCTTCAGTTTCTATATTGGAGTTCTCTTTTGGCGTTGAAGTCTTTTTGTCAGAGATAGTCTTATGATTGGAAAAATCTTCAACTTGATTAGTAGTAATGACAGTAGGAGGCTCGCTAAGAAGTGAAGGTTCATGATAACCACTCGAGTCAGAGCTGTGACGAGAGTGAGTGATTTTATCCAACTCATATCGGTCCACTTTTGAAGTAGTAGTATTGGACGAGGGGGTTCCCCATTTACTTCCTTTCTGTGGAGGAGGTGGTGGTGGTGGTGGTGCAGGCCCTTTTTTGAACTTTGACCTCACAGTTGTGCTTAAAGATTTCTTGTTGTCTAATACAGTACTGCTTAAACTGTCTACACTCTGAAACACAACACAACAAGAGAATAAAATTACAAACTTAGATGAAACTAAGGTTTTTATGGTTTCAAGTTATGACATTTGTTATAACTGGATGAACGATATCTTTATATCATACGGAAAAATGTAGATTTCTGATACTTAATTTACTTTTATATTTTTTCAAGATACATATATATAAAAAACAAACTTTTCCCTGTAGGAATATATTGAATCAACCAATGTTGTCATAGTCTTCATTCGTGGCACAAAATGACGAAGATTCATGGTTTCAAAAAAAGAATAAGAATCACTTTTTGAAAAAATGAAATCAAACAGTCTGACAATTATTTCATACACATCAATATTTAAAAGCGACAAAAAATAACTTTTAATTCGTACTCATAATATCCTAAAAATCAAAAGAAGAAAAGGAAATATTCTTGCCATAAAGTCCGAAAAATGATTATAGTTATCGAAATAGAAACAAGGAGACTTAAAATACTCACTGGTACTACTGTAGAATGGTTATTCTGAAAGCTAAGAGCTTTTTCCTTCTGTTCAAGCTCATTATGAGACGGATACTTAATGGATTCTAACTGTGAGGAGTTGACATCCATACCTAAGAAAATAGTGCATAATTTACCCATTATAAGAATATAACATAAATAGTGCATAATTTACCCATTATAAGAATATAACATAAATAGTGCATAATTTACCCATTATAAGAATATAACATAAATAGTGCATAATTTACCCATTATAAGAATATAAAATAATCGTTTACAAATAACATTACTATTCTTTTACCAACGAATATTGGGATTGACCGTCACATTATAACGCTCCTACAGCTGAAAGGTTGAGCATATTTGGTGGAATGTGGATTCTAACCCGCAACCTTCAGATTACGAATCAAGCGCCCTAACCACCTGGTCATGCCGGACAAGTTATATAATGAAAAATACAAAAAGGGGTACTTATAGAGAGAAAACCATTTGAACAAATGTCTATATAAACTTGAAAATTTTCAACCAAAAACTTTTAAAAGTCAAGGTTGTTTGAATTCACACTTATTAAGGGAGTAACATTCAAATATATATTTTTCAAAGTAAAGCTGTTTGAGTTGTGTGCTATTATTTACATCGAAGAAAAACAAATACACACAATACAACCTGTAAGCCCATTAGTTTCATAACTAAATGATTTAAATTTACACCAATAGGGCAGACTCTAAATCATTTGCATTTTAAGGTAATCTAATAATAAGATATTACTGAGAAGGAAATATCGTACTTTTTGATGATATCAGGCAAATTTCTTTAAAGTTATAATTCTCAAATGTCATGTTGCCGTCCATTACTACGTCCATTTGGTTAGGATGGGCGAGATGATATACAGTTGTATCCAAATTCTTCTCCCTACAGACTGTCTGTTTGATCTCATGTAAGGTTATCTTAGGACTGAACCGATAAGCTATTCTCTGATTATGAGGCAATCTTATCTGGAGTCGTGACGTCTGCTGTTAAATGACAGAAAGAAGGGAATAGAGAACCAGTTATATATAATAAGAATTTAGTAAACGTGATTGTGAATATACATAAATTTATTGTGCTGTGAGATGTCAATAGTTGTATAGACGAGAGAGTCAAAGTAACGTATTGATTGATTGAACAATAACTTTTACACAATACACAGGAGATATTACAGAGTGCTATAAGGAATTACGATCGAGAGTTTAAGATTTCTATGTTGAAATAACTCGAGTACAGTGATATAGTTGCTATGGATTACCACTTATATCACTTACAATAAAATATATTTTTAAGGATTTTTCTCCTCACAAAATGTTTATAAATGCTTTAAAAGATAGGCTAATGTGAAGGAACTCTTACTTCGGTTGTTCCAAAAATAAGATAAACAAAAAGGAGCCGAAAATTAAAACATCAACAGTCGCTATAAATGATAGAGTGTACTATTATCGAAACACCATCGAAGTACCTGATGTTTATCACCGTTGTTTTGTTGTAGTAAAACATTATCGAAGTGGCTGATGTTTATTACCATTGTTTTGTTATAGCAAAAACATGATCGAAGTGGCTGATGTTTATTACCGTTGTTTTGTTATAGCAAAAACATTATAGAAGTGGCTGATGTTTATTACCGTTGTTTTGTTGTAGTAAAACATTATCGAAGTGGCTGATGTTTATTACCGTTGTTTTGTTATAGTAAAAACATTATCGAAGTGCGCTGATGTTTATTACCTGTTATAGTAAAAACATTAATGTAAAAACTTAAACAATATTGCTATATTTCAGTCGAAAACTTCTAAAACACCAGCTGTTAAAACGATTCAAAACTGTTAATTAGATCATGAATGATCTTTGCTACGATAAAAATGTAATCTTATGATTTTGAGGGATAACTTACCTCAAATGTTAGCTTTTTGTTATCAGCGGGTTTCTTTTTGGGGACAACAAAGATAGTGTTTGTGTCCAAGAAGCCAATATAAGTGCTTGGTTTATAGAGTAGGTCTCGGCCTCTTTCGTCAAAAACCTGGATCATGTGACCTCCAGGCTTGATCTTATAGGGTGTTGTCACCTTGACCAGAAGATCAATCATCTGAGTGCTGATGGTTGAAAGTGGTGAAGAGAACAATATGAAACTATACTGGTGATACAACAGTTAACTTTTTAATATCTGGTTTGAAAAAAAAATCAAATATATTAATATGGTTATATGAACATTATTAAGGCCTATACATCCTAGGTTGTTTTTAATAACGACAAAATATATTGTCGTAATGATCATTTCGATCACGTTATTATGCAACTCCAATAGACTAACACGAGATCAGTTGTTTTCCCGAAAGGGTGTCCAAGGCTATCTGGAGGGGGTCACCTC